CTTCCCCTTCCCCTTCTCCTTCTCCTTCTCCTTCTCCTTCTCCTTCTCCATCTCCTTCTTTTTTTGGCCTTGTTGATTTCTGTGACATTTTTCTGGTTCTGACTCCAAAAGTACTAGTAAACACAAAAACGTGGATAGCTCAGAGACTCAATACTGAGAGTTCTGGGACAGTTGTGTCTATAATCCCTTTGGCCAATGTTTATTGAAATCTGATAGGAAAGATTAATGAGAGCTCTCAGTTACAAAGAACAAGGGAATTTAAACTTATGATTTGTTTCATTTGAACAATTTGATAAAGAATGAAAATTTCCTGAATTGGAGCCTTAAATTTACAGAATACTTAAATTAGAAAAACAGTGTGTTATGTTTGATTTCAAACTCTGTTGACAGTGTCATTAAGGTCTATTTCACAGAGGATATAGGAATATAGTTTCAAGACCTACAGATGTACTGTTTTAGGTAGTCAGTAGTTATGAGAGAAATCCTGACAATATAAATTAATAATGGGTGCTATTAACCCATGGATTAATGGATATTTATAATAATACAGACTACATATCTTCTTTTCAGTTGAGGGATTATCTTCCTTTTTGGAAGATGAATACCTGATTATAAAGAAAACATTGGTTATAAAAAAAGGTTTCACTTTGGTCAAATCTTCAAAATCTAAGTTCAGTGGTGGCAAACTTACAGAATGTGTGCTGCAGCCGGCTGTTTGTTATCATTGAACGCTCTAAAGGATCTACCATCACTAGATACTAGTATTTAAAGTGAGAGTTAAATTCTGGCTAAATAAACTAATCTCTACAAATCCAATAACTATTTCAGATATTTCTATTGTTTTAACTTTCTACAAGGAGAGATTTTTCTACAAGGAGTTTTTCTCTTTTTTTTCACTTAGTTGTGGCAGTAAAATAAATGGACTCTATAGGAGAGTGACCTGTTCTATATTTCTTTTTGTAGAGCATATTCTTATACCGTATTCCCTGGAAGCTGAAACAGTAGTTCCCAAAAGGATTCTGTTATGGGTTGTGTCTGGATGTCCCCCGCAAAGACACATGCAGAAGAGGTTTTAGAGTTTGTGATTGATTTATGGGTATGAGTGCTACAGGGCCCTGGGACAGATAGTTTGCATATGTAAGGGAGAAAAAGAGGCTGCTTGCCACCACTCCTCCCTCGTGCTCTTGCTGCTTTTGCTATCTTCCCTGCCATGAACAGTTGCCCTCTGCCGTGTGCCACTCTGCCTTCGAGCCAGCCTGGTGTGGACTAAAACCTCCACAATCTGTGAGCTAAATAAAAGTTTCATTCCTTAATTTTGGGTGTCAGGCATTTGGTCTCAGCAATGAGAGAAAAGTAACCAAGAGAGATTCCTTCATTTTTAGTTTTCATTGTAAACTAGTGTATTGTGGGAGTCCCATAGTGACATTTAAGAATGTTTCTTTTCAACAATTGTATCAAACAGTGGTAAAAACCTTACTTTGTGACTCCAAGGCATCTCTACCTTTTTTCTTTTCTGAAAAGATTATACATAGCAATTCACAAGTCTTCCTTCCAATAAGTATTTTTGAGTGTTTTCTGCTTAATAATCATTTTTATTGTATTCCAGCGTATTTTACAAATACAAATATATTCAGGACAGAATTTGCTAGTTAATTTGTAAACTAACCAAAATAAGAGAACATATAGCACAAAGGCTAACATTTTATATTCCTAACTAAACTAAATTTATACCACTGAAATTGTAGATACAATGGTATATATAATTCCCTATATAATAAATTCTTCTTAACCAGCTAACACCAGCTCTGTTTTATTTAATTTCATTCCATTATATGTGATTGAGAAGGAAAATTCTTTCTTACACAAAACCCACAATGCAAGAATTGGTAAAATGGCAGAATTTACATTACAGATTAAAACTAGTGGTGTGTTGCATACATGTATTGAAACAAAATTCATATTCATTGCCTTCATATGGTATTTCCAGTATTTAATTATGTTTCTCTTGGTAACTCCTCGGGTTGCAGTTGCCTGTACTAACACTGAAGTGATCTCCAAACCCGTCGTGTTACTAAACAGTCATTTTTCCAACAGCACTCATGTCCATGATCAATAAATTGGAAAACTCATTTTCACTTCTGATAACATTCTTATTTGTGATGGCACTGAGTTAGGGAAGTACCAGTGCTACAGCATGGTGGGTAAAATACACCCATAGTTTTCTAATGAAAGTATGTACTTTAGCATAATGTTAGCGGGCTGCGTGTCTCTATAGATGCCCTGGGGAAATACAGGTAGCAATGATTGTGTTCACCCACTTCATACAACAAAGAGCAAAGTGTGTACACGTGTCAAAGTGTAAACGGGTGAGTTTTACCCACATTGTGTGCTGTGTTACATTTTTGCGCATTTATAATTTTTTACATTATTTATTTTGATTTTTCTTGTAGCATTAGCCCAATTCAGTACAAGCTCACATGACAATCTGTTTGTACAGCTTTGGGAGGAGATTGGAAGTGAGACATCAGGTGATTCAGCTACTGATAATGGCTTGAATCATATAGCAAGCTATGACACAGAGAAATACAGAATGAAGACCTTAAGTCAGATGAGAAAGAAAACAGTAATGTAAATAAACATTTGACTAGTCAAAATGCTATAGAATGGTTATACCTGAGCAATCTGTTAGAACTAGTTCAGAAAACATTATTCAGTTCTTGCCAGGGGTAAAACTTATTGGTCAGAATGCCAACAGTGCAATTAACTGTTGGAAATTATTTGTAATGCACAATGTGCTACAAGATGTTTTAAAATACACTAATAATGAAATGTAAGTAAAACATTCTGTATGCAACAATATTAACACTCAAAAATATATTTATCATGACATCTCACTATCTGAACTAAAAGCCTTCATTGCAGGACTTTATTATTCTAATTGTCAGAATCTAAACCATTTATGCAGAAGTGACAGATGCGGCAGTGAGATTTTTAGAACAATAATGATACTCAAGAGATTTGGTTTCTGTAAAAATCACTTATATTTTGATGACAAAAAAAAAACAAGAAAGCAAAAAGAAAATATCTGACAACTTGGCTGCTATTTGCTCTTCTTTTAAAAGCTTTGTTTTGAAGCGTCAAGCAATTAAGTGACAAACAGTTTGCATCATTTCGAGGTGGTTGAAGGTTTCGGCAATATATGCTAAATAAACCTTCCAAATGTGATATAAAAATATATACTCCAGTAGATGTGAAGACATTTTACACCTTAAATTTAGAAATGTATCCTGGAACTCAGCCAGCAGGTCTTTATTCTTACAGTAATAAACTGTATGACACTGTGAGCAGACTTAAACCTATTTCAAAAAGCAACCCAAATGTCATGTTCAAAATTGGTTCATGAATTGC